ACTAACCATCTGTAGTTACTTGTAAAGACTTTGCGCACTCTTTACAGCAATATTAAAGGCAGTTTAAAAAAAAGTCATACTTACCTGCTCTCTGCAGTGGTTTTGCACGAAGCAGCCCCAATCCGTCCCTTGCCGGTGCTTCTGGCCCCTCCCTCTTGCCAAGTGCCACCAGAGCAAGTAGATTGCTATGGAGGCACCCAAGGAGGCTCACTCCCAAGCCACTGCTCTGCATGTCAATTCACAGAGAGGTGGCTCAGCCCTGCCCCTGTCTCTCTCTCTCTCACTCATTGGCTCACTGGCCATGATTGACAGCAACGAGAGCCAATGGCTTCCGCTGTTGTCCAGCCAATGAGGAGGTAGAATCCCCCGAGATCCGACGCTTTCATGCACATCGCTGGATTGCAATGGGGCTCAGGTAAGTATTTGGGGGGGGGCTGGTGCACACAGAAGGTTTTTTACCTTCCTGCATAGAGTAAAAAAAAACTTTGAGCCTTTAGAACCATTTTAAATGTAGGCACCACACTGGCCTTGAAACAATCTTGTGGCACAGAGCAAATTGTTAGAGTCTCTAAAATTAGTAACAATGGCTTTGAAATAACAGAACTTAACTCTTTGAGGACATGAGGGTGTAAGCCATTTGGTGCTTTATTCACCTTCAGTTATTCAGACAGTGCATGCGACTTTCAATAAACATTCTCAGGTGGAGAATCTTCCAGGTTTTCAGGTGTTTTGAATTGCAGTGGTTAGTTCTCCACTAGAGAATGTTTGGTAAAAATGTCATTCTCAGCTTTGTAAATGGACCCCATAATGGGGTGAATTTACTAAGATTAGAGCAGCTGTGCATGGCAACCAATCAGCTTTTGTTGAAGATAAACTGGTTGCTATGTACAACTGCTCCAGGTTCTGTGAGCTCTAGTCTTTTTTTTTTTTTTTTTTTTTTTTTAATTGTAAGACATTATTTAGCCACTAGATGGTAGAAGATGACAAATTTTGTGAATTTTTTGTTTTTCCTCTGAGCTAGTAACTTCCTTGAGATATGCAAGTGGGATGAAGTCAGAAGTGTGATTATGCAGCTTCTGAGTTCCGTATGCGATTTGAAAAGTAGCAGGAACATGCTATAAATAGTCCGCTTTGCAACCAAGGTCTATTTTAAACCTATCGAGGTGTATTTGTATTAAATGTCTATTCTTTTGTGATTTTTATGTTATGGGAAAATTAGGCCATCAATGTAAAAGCTGCAATTACTGTTTGTCAGGTTGAGAGACAAATGAGGGCAGCCGTGTTTGACTCTTTAGGGCTCGGGCGCACACAATATTTTTTAACGCTGCTTTTAGGGGTGTCTGACTGACGTCCATTCTGGCCAATGATCTGAATTAACACCCATGCGCTTGACGCGTCTAACCACTTTTACGTGCATCAAACATTTCTTTTCTGCAAAAAACTCAGCTGACTAGAAGAAAGGCATTTAAGAGAGGTTTACCAATGCCCTGTGTGCATGAGGCCATAGAGTTTTTTGTAAAGTTTTTCTTAAAGTATAACCTCTTTTTTGAGGAGGATTTGGACAGGGATTAGAACAGGGGCCTCCAAACTTTCTAAGCAAAGGGCCAGTTTACTGTCCTTCAGGCTTTAGGGGGGCCGAACTGTGTCCAGTGGGAGTAAACAATGCCCCATATTTGTTTCTATTGGGAAGAATAGTGCCCCATCAATGGTTTCAGTGGGAGGACTAGTGCCCTATCAATGGTGTCAGTGGGGCGAATAGTGCCCCATCCATTGGTGTCTAGTGCCCTATCAATGGTGTCAGTGGGGCGAATAGTGCCCCATCCATTGGTGTCAGTGAGATGAATAGTGTCCTAAGGGCCGGATAAAGGCAAACAAAGGGCCACATCCAGCCCCCAAGCCACAGTTTGGAGACCACTGGATTAGAATCACTGTCAGGTCTTCATTGCTTTCTGTGTCCCAGTTGGGGAGATTCATACTCTCTAACGTAGTAGTGTTGGGGTGGGGGGAGCGCATAGGAGAAAAATGATTTAAAAAATAGTTAAAGCATCCAAGTCCTGATAGAAGCTCATTTTAACACTTCAATGTCTAATGCTGAGCTACTGGCTTCAGCATTTGACCTGCTGACCTGCATCAGATATGCAGATAAAGATTTCTGACTTTATTCCAGTTTTTTTTATTTATTTATTTATTTATTTTATTAGCGCTGATTTTACTTATATATACAGTCATGGCCGCTGTCATGTATTTCTTTTTGCATTAACACATTTTTGCTATACACATGTTTATTCCCTTTGTGTGTATATGGGACAAAACAAAAAAAACAGCGCTTTTACATATATATATTGGGCAAGTACATTGTACATTCACATCAGTCCCTAACCCTCAAGGAAAGGGAAAAGCAAATATTGTACACATCACTGGGCTGGATCAAAAGTCACAACTGCGGATAAATAAGAATGTTACATGTACAATCTGAGGTCACTAACTCACATTCATACATACACATACTAGGGCCAATTTAGACAGGAGCCAATTCACCTACCAGCATGTCTTTGGAGTGTGGGAGGAAACCGGAGTACCCGGAGGAAACCCACGCAGGCACAGGGAGAACATGCAAACTCCAGGCAGGTGGTGGTGCACACTTGTTTCAGAACACTGACATCATACTGAAGCCAGGTACAACTAGTTAGTATCTTTTAAAAGATCAGCAATAGCAACACCTATGTTTCCCTACGTCTTAAGGTTTGGTGCTTACGTCTAAAGTCATTGTGCCTTATGCGTTTGCACGTGAGAGGTGCGCAGTAACGTGCATTGCGTAACAGGGGTGCTTGGATAATTTTCATATTTGCCCAGCATGTCACATGGCATGGTAGCATTACTGTGCTGTGTGCTATCTTTATTAGGTGTGTTCACCTACCAGGATGCATTTGCAAAATGCACGTTGGCTCACGTTAATGCAAAGCTTTTTGTAAAAATCATTGTGCTTATGCGTTACGTTGCGCAGTAACGTGCATTGCGTAACAGGCTTGGATAATTTTTCCCAGCATGTCACATGGCATGGTAGCATTACTGTGCTGTGTGCTATCTTTATTAGTAGAGTGCATTCACATCGCAGTCCCTAACCCTCAAATGGGATGTACAATCTGAGGTCACTAACGTGGCCAATTTAGACAGGAGCCAATTCACTACCAGCATGTCTTTGGAGTGTGGGAGGAAACCGGAGTACCGGAGGAAAGCAGGCACAGGGAGAACTTCCACTCAGACGAGACCAATGGGCTTGCTTTTGAGAGCTCACAGTAGAGCACAATCATTGTGTAGAAATATCAAAATGAAAGCACAGTTTTTCTATTTAGAGACCTAATCTGTCAGATCCTAAATACATATATCATTACACGTTATTCATAGAAAGATCCTGAAACATCAAAGCAAAGCTGTAATTAAGTGTACTCTTTGAAACCAATGGTAATGCTGCAATGCACTGCCGTGGACCTTGAGAACATGAATTCTTAGGTGTAGGGATAAAAGCCATTCATAAGTATAATAAAGCAAGCAAATTGAGCTCTACTAGATGACAATACTAAGGGAATGCATCAAAGGAGAGAAAGTCCAAGGACCTTTTCAGGTCTCTAAATGTCCACTAGAAGGCAGCTTGTCGTGAGAACAGGAGATGACTCCGTGAATAGATCAAGGAAGGGAGAGAACAAGCGCCATCTGGGTGTAGTATTGTAAAAAACATTTAATGAACAAATAAACACGATGCACTCACAATGGAAAAGTGATCTAGGTGTGTATGGAAATAAAGATAGTCGTCAGTGTGGGTCCCGGACTGCAATAGATGGAGGCTGTAAACCGGCTGGCAGGTAGCTCTGGAGGCTCCCAGGGTTTCCTGGTCAGCGTGGAACGCAGCACGATGGGTGGAAGTGACGTCAACAACCGGAACTGCTGATCAAAGATGCCATGCGCTCCTTCTTAAGGCCATGATGGAGCCATCTTGGAGATGGTATTTAAGGGCATCAGGGGCGGATCATTTGCAAGTCTATGGCAACTATAGGGAATACTTTACAGATGCCAGGGACAGAAAAATGATGTAAAAAGACATGTTTACAGATGCCAGGGACAGAAAAATCATGTTAAGTATTCCCTATAGTTGCCATAGACTTGCAAATGATCCGGCCCTGATGCCCGTAAATACCATCTCCAAGATGGCTCCATCATGGCCTGAAGGAGCGCATGCTCTGCAACGCGTCGCCATCTTTGATCGGCAGTTCTGGTTGTTGACGTCACTTCCGCCCATCGTACTGCATTCCACGCCGACCAGGGAGCCTCCTGAACTACCTGCTAGCCGGTTCACAGCCTCCATTCATTGCAGTCCAGGACCCACACTGACGACCATCTTTATTTCCATACATGCCTAGATCATTCCTCCATTGTGGGTGCTATTGTGCTTTTTTTGTTCATTAAATGGTGTTTACAATATTACACCCAGATGGTGCTTGTTCTCTCCCTTCCTTGATAAAAGCCATTCACTTTACTCCATCCCACGGTGCAGCTGTTGCTGCCCGAGAGACCTATTACCAGCCCTAAGGGCAACTAAATGGGTGGAGGGAAATACGGTTACTCTTATGCAGCACTGTTTACTGAAAAGGATTTTCTTCAACACAAAGGTGTTCGCATATTGATAGGAATGTTTACATTAAATTGGTCACATTCATACTGTAAGTCAAACAATAAAAAGATTATAGAGTACTTTACCAGGAAAAGAAGAAGCTATGTAATGGGCAGCTGCAGTCTTAGTGCCGTATGAGCTAAGAAACAGAAGGGGGATCTACAGGTGTGCATGGGTATGGATGGTTTTGTGAGCATTGCTTTATTGCCATAATAGATAAACTGGAAAAATAAGTCCTAATTGTTAAATTGCACTGCTCACTGTTAAAATGACCTTGCCTGCTTTAAGTGTTTTATTTTGTCTGAACTGATTTTAAACTGCTGCTCTTTTTCAGACATTCCCTAAGAAGAGGAAGCTCTTTCACATTCCTGACCCCTGGGCCACAATGGGATTTTACTTTGGTTAGTGCTGTCTGACTGTATTTACATGTGTGTGTAACAGGCACCCTTCAATTACGTTTCTGTTCAGTCTCAGTTAAGCCTTGCAACTATACATTTAGGTACAAGAGTGAAGCAAAACTGTTGTTAAAATTTAAAGCAAAACCTCACCCAAAAAAGGAAAGTTCCACTCTTTCTAATCTTCCCCACCTCCTCTAACATGTTTTTGCTGTTGTTGTTGTTTTTAATGTTAATGCACATGTATGATTTATTATTTCCCCTTTGTTTGGACTTAAAGGAGTAGTATAGCCAAAGCTTTTTATTTTTTTATTTTTTTTTTAGCTGCACATCTGTGGATCACAGGAGTGCAGTTAGTTGTGCACTCCTCTGAACCGTTTCCATCTGACAGCAACAGAGCCGGTCCAGGCTCTAAAAAGATCCCGACCATATGGTTGAGATCCACTCAGAAGCCTGGACCGGCAGCTGGTTCATCCCCTCAGCAATCTACGGAGATCCTGAGCTAGCCCCTCCCCTCCACAGCCTATTGCTTGAGGTGCAGAGCAGAGAGAGCTGGGTGACTGACTCTGCTCAGAGTGGACTGGAGAACTGAGTGATCAGCCGTGTTTGATCACTCAGTTCTCACTTCAGAGTCAGTGGGGGACAGATGCAGCATCCAGCTAGGTGGGTATAATGTGTGTTTCCCCCCCCCCCACAGCCCATACTTCTCTACATTTACACTCTTACAAACACATATACATGCGTTTATACGTGTAAGCACATAGAGAGTATGTTCTTATATTTTTGGATCCTGTGTTCCTGACCTGATGCAGTGCATTTCTACGCACCTGTGTGAATGGCTCCATTGAAAACCATGCAGCTGTGTTCAGATCTGTAATTAAAATTCCTTGTATATGCTTTTTTTTTTTTTTATGGACGTGTGACTGAAGCTTAAAAGTCAGCAGCTGCTGTATTTGTAGGTGCTGACTTTTATTTTATTTAATTTTAATGCCTGAAGAACCTCTTTTCCCACACATTAAAGATAACCTTGAAAAGAAGATAGAAAATACTTCTCTCATGTCAATACCATTGCTGTAACGCAGAGAAATCATACCTGAAATCTCTTCAGAAACCAAGAGTTTTGGATTTCTGGTTCCCACCTCTCTTTAATTGTTCCTTCCACTAATTCCTATACCACTAGGATGCAGTGGTGAGGTAGGGTTGGGGGAAGTGCAGTGGGGGACCAGGAATCAGTTGTGGAAGAGATTGCAGGGGATCATTTCTAAGCTGAGTACACACTGATAGGGTTGTTTTTTTTTTTTTTTTTTTGTTTTGTTTTTTTAAATCAGATGATGGTTTTCTAGCATGTTCCTTCAACAAAAGCTGGTAATTACTGGTTTCTGTCTGAGAGACAGCTGTACATACTGACCAAAAGTCGGTCAGCTCCTGCTGAACCAGCTGATCTTTGGCCAGTATGTATCCAGCTTTAAGGACACGTGGGCAGGATGAGATGTAAATATTTACTGTCTTCTTTGCAGGGGATATCTTTTTAGGCACATTGACTTTAGCAACTGAGTTGTTTGTCTTTTTTTTGACACTAAGCTGCATTGTCAGTTTCTAAGGGATTTTTTTTTGCATTTAAACAATAAAAAACATTTAAGACTCAGTAAATGTTCATAAAATATAATCTCTGTGAATAAGGCCTAAGCCTTCCCAGCTAATTTTGCAGGTTAGTAGTTGTGCTGAATTCATGGCTGAAAATCTTATGATCTGTTACGGGGTCAGGAAAGTTACCAAGCATAGTTCGGTGGGTGTCAGTGCTGTGGTCTGTTCTGACTGCATGAATGTAGTCTCGATGGCAAAAAATGATCAGTTAGGTTGCTTTGCTGTTTTGTCCTTTGCAAGGGACTTTTTTGGTTCTGTGAAAACTTTTATGGCTTTTTATTAGACAGATGAATATGCAAAACTATTTTATAGTAAGACATTTTTATCATTTATTATGTTGCGTTAAATATGTACAGCTTACTTGACTGGGTTATTTTAAACAAATGACAAGCCGCTTTAAGCCAAGTAACAATAAATTTGTAGTCATGTGTAAAGTGTAAAAAAAAGAATTCACTTGCCTCTTTAAAAGTCCTAAACCAACCCAGATGTGATCTTGCAAGTGAATTAACAGACACGTTTAGTCTTGCATATTGTGTTTTGCTATGTGGATATGTCTGCTACAGCATTTATCGTTTTTTGTGTTTTTCTTTTTCTTTTTTGTGGAAAATCCCAATTCCCATGTGATTGTAGAACTTCTGTGTACCTGTATGATAAATCAAAGTATTTTCGAATAGGGTATATTTTCTTTAAGATACTCTGCTTGCCCAAGGCTACTGTTTGCTGTTTATAAGTGACGTGTACTTTTTGTTCATTTGTTTTCAGAAAAGGAAACGCAGAGAAAAGGATGATGACACTTTCAGTCTTTGCAGCTTTGATCTTAAGGTAACAAGATCTTCTGTACATTATAGAGAAGGTCTGACGTACATTGGCTTGGATTGCCAAAATACACAATTGTATTAGCTGATATACAGCTTTCTCTCTGCTCAAAGGTGTAGGGTGTTTTGTTTTATGCTGCAATACTTTTAGCATGCATATTTTGAGAAGTCTTTTAAAGAAAACTTTGCTCACAACAAAAGGGTACACATTAAAGCGGAGCTCCACCCAAAAGGGGAAGTTCCACTTTAAGGACTAGTCCTTTGCTCCCCGTTAAGGATTGGCACCTTTGGGGAGTGGGGGTTGACAGGTACCCACTCTCGTACATTAGGTGTCTCACTTGGCTTTTATTTACTGGTGGTGATCACTTTAGCTGCTACAAATTACATGGGACATTGGTAGTCTTATGTGTGTGTTTTTTTTTTTTTTTCTTATTCTTCTTGTGATATTCTACTAAACATTTGCAGGTTCTAGTGTTCTTACGGGATTATCTTTTGGTTATACATGAAAGTGAGATAACAGTTTACCAAGTGGTGACTTCTATTATGTGGAGAGAATTCTGGAATCTAGACAGTCCTGTTTCTCACAGCATTTCTTATTACTGAGGATTTTTTTTTCTCCTGAGTAAAGGATCATCAGTTATATTACTGTGCCACTTTAAAAATGACTAACTTCTATGTTTACCTTTTTATAAGGTACTACCCTTGTTTCTTGGCAACAATATCCAACACATAGTGCAGATAAATCACAGTCAAATACTCCCACTCCCTTTTTTTTTCAAATGCATAATATAAAAGTGTAGATAATATTTTTTTCCTATTTTAATATAACAGTCTACAGAAGCCTTTGTCAACCTTTGCAACACTGAGGAATCTCTGAAAATAATTTTCGGTCTCGGAATCAGGGAACCTCTGCTAAAAAGTATTATATTTAGAGCTCACCGTACATCAGCATGATGGTCACTGAGAAAAATGCTGCTTACATTTGTTGTCAGTGGGAAGGATCCACCCTCACAGATAGCTAGAAAAATCATTGGTGTCAGCGGTTTGTGTGAGAGGCAGAAATTGCTCAAGGAACCCACAGCAACCTCTGGAGGAACCCAAGGGATGCACAGAAACCTGGTTGGGAGAAGCTGCCAGTCTACAGGCTTACGTTGGCCATAGACTGATCACCATTTTTCACTTTTAGCAGAGACTTTAAAGCCATGGTTGTCATCTTGGAAGGTATAAGGGGGCTTCAACTGTAGCTCCTGACCTCACCAAAGGAGCTCACAATCACATTCAGTATATGTGATACTATGGGTCTGTCAGAGACTGCAGACATACTACAAATTCTAGTCGGATATTGTGCACATGTGTTTGGAGACTGCAAAAGAATGTGACCAACTGAGAACATCTTGCAGGAGGCTATTTGTGACCACAGTTATCACCCCCTTTACAAATCAATGCTTTCACTGCTGGGGTATGAGGGTCAAACAACAAGTTTCCAGAGTGCTGCAAGTTGCTCTGGGGCCACAGGTTGGGCACCAGGGCCTTAAATTGTAACTGCACTTTGCCTCCAATCCTCCCTGCCAGTCTTATGCTCATCTGTCCCTGATCTACGAGCTCTAGCCAACAGGTTTGCCTAACCTCTATATTCTCTGGATGGATTCACTCATGCACTTTGCACTTTTATTCATTCCTATTAAAGTCCAGAGCAGTGTTTCTTGACCAGGGTTCCATGGAACCCCAGGCTTCCTCCAGAGGATGCTAGTGGTTTCCTGAAAGTAGAGCAGTTGCAGATTATTTTCCTGCTTACACTGACCATCAATGTTAGGGATCTCTACTATACTCTCCACCAGGGGGGATGTTTAAAATCAACTGCTTGCAAAACCACTTCAAAATATATTCCCATGGGCAATACGTTTAAAAGGCTAAAAATAAAACCTATGAGGCTCACACCAAACTTAGAGAAGGTTTAAATAATAAGAAAAGGGCATTTAAAAATGAAGGAACTGTCATGTAAAAGTTACGAAGAATATGACAACATGCAAAAAGGAAATCAAGGCCACAAAAGCTCCAAACGAACAACTGGTTGCAAAAGAGAATAGGGCAAACCTCCCAAAAATTTTCAACTATATTATTAGCAAAAAGGTCAGGACTGTAGGTTCTTTACAAGATAATTTTAGAGTTGGTGACTGGGAACAAAGAGAAGGAAAATGTCTTAATGTATACAAAGGAACATGGGAGAGCTCAACCCATAACGATATTATTGACATAAACCCAAAAGAACCACAGTGGCTAAAAAGCTGATATGGTCCAGAAACATTTAGACAAAATAAAGGTGAATATTGCACATGGACCAGATGGCATACACCCATGTGCCCTCAAAGAGTTGAGCTCTGTTATTTTTAATAAATTGCTTCTAATTTTTAGACTCTTAATTACTAGCTTGTCACGACTGGATTAGCACAAGGCTCATGTGATGCGCTACGGCGCCGCGTTACTTTAACTGACAATTGCGCGTTCATGCAACGCTGCACCCTAATGAAATTTTACGTCCTTTTTGTTCCCCCCCACGAATAGAGCTTTCTTTCAGTGGTATTTGATTGCCTGTGTGTTTTTTTGCGCTATAAAAAAAGAAGACTGACAATTTTGAGAAAAAAAAAAGATATTTGACTTTTTGCTATTAAACATGTCCAGTAAAAAAATTTTTTTAAAAATCCAATTTCGGCATAAATTTAGGCCAAAATGTATTCTGCTACATGTCTTTGCTATAAAAAAATCCAATACATGTAAATTAATTGGTTTACGTGAAAGTTATAGTGTTTACTAATGGCGATATATACACTGGGATTTATTTATTTTTTAATATTTACTAATAATGGCAGCGATCAGCGACTTATAGCGGGACTGTGGCGGGCATTCTGACACTGGGGGGAACTGACTTGGTGTCACTGACATCCCCAGTGACACCAATACAGTGATCAGTGCTAATAAAAAGCACTGACACTGTACTAATGGCACTGGGCAGGAAAGAGTTAACATGTGGGACACTCAAAGGATTAACTGTGTGCTGTTTTACTGTAAGCTGTGTGTGTTTTCAACTGTAAGCACACTGCTTTGTAGCAGTGTGCAGGAGCCGACCGGGGGGGGGAGAACTGTATTGTTTACAAACAGTCCCCTTCCCCATCGCTAATGCTCGGCGATCACCGGGTGCCGGCGAGTAATCATCGACGGGGACCCGGTGATTGACAGCTGAGTCTGCGAATAGAGGCATGGATAGGAAGCTCCCGCGTGCCCCCTACCCAGAAATGCAAAATCACACACACACACACACACACACACACACATATGTGTGTATATGTGATTTTGCGCACCCCTGCCGCCCTGTAGCTGTATATCTGCTTTAGGGCAGCGAGAAAGGGTTAAATAGCGATTACAATGGTTTGTTTAACTTTTATAGTCAGGAATATACTTGAAAGTTTAACAAAAGACCGCATAGAAGAGTTTTGCTAGAAAAATATTTTAAGCAAAAGACAGCTTGGATTCACAAAAGTCCAAAGTTGTCAAACAAATCTGCTTTTTCTTTATGAGAAAGTGATCAAATACATAGACAAAGGAGTATCTGTGGATTTAGTACACATGGAGTTTGCAAAAGCATTTGACACCATTCCCCACCTACAGCTAATGTACACATAAGTCTACAGGCTTGGGAAAATCTGTATGAGTACGGTCTTTTAGTCAGTTTTCTATCCATTTACAAGGAACAGTGATTCATAAGTATAAGGTTATTAGTGGTGTACCCCAAGGTTCAATGTACCCTTACTTTATTTATAAATAATATGGAGTTTGGAATTACAAGTACCATTTTAGTGTTTGACAATGACACCAAGCTATGCAGTGAAATAGAGTCCTTAAAAGATGTCTCCAACTTATAAGCCAACCTAAATGCACAATTTAAATGGGCAGCTGTGTGGCAAATTAAGTTTAATGTTAAGTATAAAGTTATGCACTTCTGGACTAAAAACATGCATGCATCATACATATTTGGAGGAGAATAGCTGTCCCTGGATGTGCCCACTGGACACAGCCAATGATTGATCACTGCACAGACCTGCTGCCAGTGTCATGTTATTGCTGTGACCAGTCCCAGCAGATCACATGACAGTTGTAAACAAAGGTCTTCCATGCATGCCATTCATTGCGTACAACTGTGTTGCTATCTGTGATTGGACACAGTGATCACATGGTACAGACAGGAACAATCACAGCCTATCTGTACCATGTGATCAGCTGTGGCCAATTATTATTATTATTAATATACAGGATTTATATAGTGCCAACAGTTTGCTCAGCGCTTTACAATATAACGGGAGACAATACAGTTCAATACAAGAGGGATAGGAGGGCTCTGCTCCTTGGAGCTTACAATCTAGGAGGGAGGGGCTAGTGGTACAAAAGGTAGTAACTGTGGGGGATGGACTGGTAGGAGGAGTAGAAGATTCCATTATTAGCTGAAGGCAGGATAGGCTTCCCTGAAGAGGGAGGTTTCCAGAGATCGCCTAAAAGTGAGCAAAGTAGGTGATAGTCTGATAAATTGGGGTAGAGAGTTCCAGAGGATGGGGAAGCTCTGGAGAAGTCCTGTAGATGAGCATGGGAGGAGGAGACAAAGGAGCCAGGGAGCAGGAGGTCGTGCGAGGAGCGGAGAGTACGGTTTGGGTGATATTTGGAGACAAGATCGGTGATGTAATTTGGGGCAGAGTTATAAATGGCTTTATATGTTATTAATGTTTTGAATTTTATCCATTGGGCAACGGGAAGCCAGTGGAGGGATTGGCAGAGAGGGGTGGCTGATACAGAACGGTTAGTAAGGTGGATGAGCTTGGCAGCAGCATTCATGATAGACTGAAGAGGGGATAGCCTGCGATGAGGTAGGCCAATGAGGAGGGAGTTACAATAGTCAAGGCGAGCGATAACAAGGGAGTGAATAAGTTGCTTAGTGGTTTCCGAGGTTAAGAACGGGCGTATCTTGGA